CGCTCTACCACTTGAGCCACAGCACTACTTCTGGCTTTTTCTTTTTGCTTATGTGGTGCTGAGGAATCGAACCCAGGGCCTTGAGCATGCAAGGCAGGCGCTCTACCACTGAGCCACCTTCCCAGACCTCCCTCTTGCTCTTTCTTATACCCCTTCCACTTTCCTTTATTTCTTCCCTTTTATAACCTTGATAGTCTCCATTTTACTTTTATGTCCTTCCCTCTTTAGATCCCATGTATAACACAAAAAGTGTAATACTTGTTTCTGTGAGTCTGCCTTATTTCATGTAACATGATGATCCCTTCTTCCATCCATTTTCCTGTAAATTATATTATTTAATATGAATGAATTAATACAATATTAATTTCTTTGTTGATGGGCACTTTGGTTGACTGCATAAGTTGTCTATTATGAATAGTGCTACAATAAACATGGATGCACTGGTATCTCTATAGTAGTCTGACGGATTCTTTTGGATATGTACCTAGAAATGGTATGGCTGGACCACATGACAGTTCCATTTTCAATGGTTTCTGTTTGGTTTTGGGGGAATCTTCATACTGATTTCCTTAGTGGCTGCACTCATTTACATGACTGCCACCATTGCATTCTCATATCTTTGCCAGTATTTGCTTCTGTTTGTCTTCTTGATAATACCATTCTAACTGAAGTGGGAGGAAATCTCTGTGTACCTTTTATTTACATTTACCTGGTGGCTAAAAATGTTCAGTGTTTTTTCATGTATTTGTTGGTCATGTGTGTTTCTTCAAAAGTGTACAATCCCCTTGCCCATTTATTGATTAGATTGTTTGTTTAAAATTTTTTAGTTATTGGGGCTGGGAAGGTGGCTCAGTGGTAGAGCACTTGCCTTGCATGCGTGAGGCCCTGGGAAAGCTGGAAGTGGCGCTGTGGCTCAAGTGGTAGAGCGCTAGCCTTGAACTGAAGAGCTGAGGGACAGCAACCAGGCCTAGAGTTCAGGCCCCATGACCGGACTCCTCCCCCCCAATTTTTTTTTTTAGTTCTTTATTCACTCTATCTATTAATCCTCTGTCAGATGAATAACTGGTAAAGGTTTTTGCCATTCTGTAGTCTCTCTGTGTTTCTTTTGCTGTACACAACTTTTTTTCTTCAATTTCATGGAATCCTATTGGTCAATTTTTGCTATTGTTTTCTGAACTTATTGGAATCTATTAAGAAAGTCATCGCATATGCCTAGATCCTGAAGTGTTTCTTCTATTTTCCTTTAGTATGTTCAGAGTTTAATTTTTTTTTTTTGGTTGATCATAGGGCTTGAATTCAGGGCTTTGTCTGTGAGCTCTTTTGCTCAAGGCTAGTGCTCTGCCACTTTGAGTCACAGTGCCACTTCTGGTTTTTGAGTGGTTTATTGGAGTTAAGAGTTCTGCCCAGGCTTGCTTTGAACCTTGATCCTCAGATCTCATCCTCCTGAGTAGCTAGGATTACAGGCATGAGCCACTGGCAGTGCCCAGCCCAGCTCCAGAGTTTGACATCTTACATTTTGAGTTGAGTTTTGTGCAGGGTTGAAAGGTAGGGATCTAGTGTCAGTCTCCTTATTGGAAGGGCCTCATACTTGGCAGGTAAGCACTCTACCACTTGAGCCACACTTTCAACCGTTTTTACTTTAGTTTATTTTTCAGGTAGGGTCTCACTTTTGCCTGGGCCTAACCTTTAACCATATATTTGTCTCCCACATAGCTGGGATTAAAGACATGAAGCACTACAGTTGGCTTAGCTTATTGAGGTGGAGTTTCAGTAATTCTCTGCCCAGGCTAGCCCCAAATTGTGATCCTTTCATCTCTGCCTCCTGAGTAGCTGGGGTTATGGATGTAAGAAATCACACATGGCTAGTTTTAGTCATCTATGTGTGGATATCCTGTTTCTTCACACCACTTATTAAGAGGCTCACTTTTCTCCCATTATTTGGGCTCATTTCTGGATTTTTTGTTGTGTTCTATTGTTCTCCATGTCTAGTTTTAAGCCTGTACTATCATTTGGGTTACTATGGCTCTGTAGTTTCAAATCAATTATTATACCTCTGGCATTACTCTGCTCAAGATTCTTTGGTTACTCAGGGACTTTTATGCTTCCGTATGAATTTCAAGACTTTTTTCCTATTTCAATGAAGAATGCAATTGGAATTTTGAATTCATATATTGCTTTTGGTAATGTGATCTTTTATTTATTTATTTTTGGCTGGTTTGGGGGCTTGACCTCAGGTCCTGGGCACTGTTGTTGATCTCTTTAGCTCAAGGCTAGCATACTATCACTTTGAGCCACAATGCCACTTCTAGTTTTCAAGTGGTTTATTAGAGATAAGAGTCTCATGGACTTTTCTGCCCAGGCTGGCTTTGAATGGCGCTATCCTCAGATCTCAGTCTCCTGAGTAGTTTAGATTACAGACCTGGGCCACCAGAACCTGGCTCCTTTTAAGAATATTTCTGCCAATCTTGAACATGTAATATCTTTCAATTTCTAGTGTCTTTCACAATTTCTTCACTGCTTTCTAGTTTTTCATCATAGCAGTCTTTCATATGTTTGATTAGATGCCTATGTCCTTTTTCATCTATTGTGAATGATATTCACATAGTCATACTGACTTTGCTTTCAAAGAATACATACAAAATATGGTATTTATTTTCAAATTTTCTAGAAAATATTCTATTCACATTAAGTTTAGTTCCATTGTAGCAGAAAAATTCACACTTATACTTGAATCCTGTTAAATATGTTGAGTTATATTTTGTGGCCCAGAATGTTGCTTTCCTTGGTAAATATTCCATATTCATTAGGAGCATATAGATTTTGCTAATGTTGGGTTGAGTGTTTTATAAATGTTAATCAGGTTAAATTGATAAATAGTGCTAAGTGTGTTGTATTCTTGCTGATTTTCTACCAATTCTGTTATTGAGAGAAAATATTTAAGTTTTTGAGTATAAAAGTAGGTAGATAAACATTTTGGTTTATGTCCTCATAATGAATTGATTCCCTTTTATTTATTGATTACCTTTTATTACTGTAATTGTTCTCTCCTCTGACATGTACTTCATGTGGCTTTAATATAGCTATCCCAGCCTTCTTTTGATGGCTTATTAATGCATATATTATCTTTATTTTTTTTGATCAGTTATGGGGCTTGAACTCTGGGCCTGGGTTCTGTCACTGAGCTCTTCAGCTCAAGGCAAGTGCTCTACCACTTGAGCCACAACTCCACTTCTAATACATATATTATCTTATCCCTTATTTTTAACTTAGTTTCATCTTTATATCTAAATGTGTTAGTTTGAAAGTAGCATACAAGTATATGGTTTTGTTTCTAATTTAAGCCAGAGATCTGCCTTTTAATTGGTTCACTTAGTCACTTATATTTAATATGATTGTTAACATGATTAGATTTAAATTTAGCATTGGTTTGTCTTCAATTTATCTCATCTGCTCTTTTTTTGCCAATTTTTTTCTGATTTTCTTATTAAATGCTAGAGATGTAGCTTAGTGGTAGAGTAATTTCCTTACATATGTAAAGTTGTAGGTTCAATCCTTAGCACAACAAAAAAGAAAGAAAGGTAGAAAGAGGAAGGGAGCAAGAAAGAACGAAAGAAAAAAGAAAGAAAGAAAGAAACTCTTTCCCAAGCCTTTCCCAGCCGTGTGGAGGGCCAACGTGGCCTGGTGCCAGCCAGAACAATGAATAAACCTATCCCTTACCTGAAAAAAAAGAAAGAAAGAGAGAAAGAGAGAAAGGAAGGAAGGAAGGAAGGAAAAGAAAGAAAGAAAGGAAGGAAGGAAGAAAGAAATTGAATTCCTTGGTTAAATTGAATTTTCATGATTGTCTCTTTTTCGCTTGCTATATATAACTTTGTTATTTATTTGTTACTTAATCTTAGCAGTACACACATTTGACTTAATCATCTACCTTTAGGACACAATGGAATATAATACAGCAATTCCATTCTAAACTTTGTGGTTTTTGCATTCCATTTTATGGATGTGCCAAAATGTATTCAGCCCACCTATTATTAATGGAATTTCAGTTCCAGGTTTGATATTTTACTCTTTTAAGCAATGCCAGATGAACACCTTTGAGTGTATTTATTTACTTTTGCAAATATAGCTATAGAATAAGTTCACAGATGCATGATTGCTCAGTTGTATTATTCTGATAATCAAATCCTTTTTGGTGGTTTACCAACTCATGTGACTTTATGAATTTTAATCACTAAAGATATTAATGCTCTTAAGTGAATTCAGAATTTATTGTCATATAATTAATGATAGATAAGTATAATATTTGACAAAATATGCTTTTATTGTTTTCTTGTTTTTCAGCTTTGCAGGCAATTGCTGCTTTAGCATCAGTACTGAAACAGGAAGAACTGAGAAATAATGACCTGATTCTAAGTGGAATTTCACCTACCTCACTCATAAATTTAGCTGCCCAGTTTGCTCTTGCGGTAACTCACATGCATCAATCTACTAGATTTTCCTTCTTCTTGTTTGAAAGACAGAATGACCAAAGGCTACAAGAGAGCCCTTTCTTCAATCTTTGTTTCTGTCACATTTTCATGTTTATCTTGCTTGCAGAATTGCTTTATTTCTCTTTATATCTTCATAATGTAGACTGAAATAAATGAAACAAAGTAAAGTAACAAGGGCTGGAAGCATGGCTCAACTATAGAGTGTCTACCTAGCAGATGTGAGGCCTTCAGACCAACCCCTCGTTCCTCTAAAGTCAGCTAACAGACGTGCTTAATAGAAAAAAGTAAAAATAATAAAACATGAATTTTAGGAAGAAATTACAGATTTAAAATTTTCATGCCAAGGGATAGGTTATAGCTTAGTGGTAGAGTCTACATAGCATATACAAGGCCCTGGGTTAGATTCCCATCTCTGCAACAAAATAAGAGTAGAGAAGAAGGAGAGGGAGAGAAAAAGGCACCATAGAAATTAGTATGTATCTATTTGAAATTTATCTTTCTCATCAATTTAAACAAAATAAATTTGGTGGACTTTTTTAGTCATAACCACAAAACAATGATAGTTTAGATATAATAAATACTTGGGCTTCTTTTTTTCCCTTTCGGATTTTTATTTTATAAATCTTGGAAAAGGAAGTGGAGTTGTCGCTCAAGTAGCGGAGCACCAAGCAATAGTGCAAGGTCCCGAGATTAAACCCCCAGTACCAGTGCGCCTGTGCGTGCATACTCACACATACAAACACATACACACGCACACACACACACACACACACACAGACGTGGAAAAGCATGGTAGCAGCTTAAGAGTTTTTGAACCAAGTTTGAGTACTGACTCTGCCACTTAATAAGCACCTGATTTTCTTTGAATGTTAGTTTCATTTGTACAATAAAGTCAATTACCTATTTCTAGATTTGATATGAAAATTAACTGAAAAGATAACTAAAAATATGGTTCATAAACTATGAAATTTGATCTTATAAAGTACTTTGTTTCTGATTCTTCCTTCTGTATGAAAATCTGCTCAGAATCATAGTTCCATAATTCTTCTGTACTTTGTTTCATTTATTTCAGTCTACATTTATGAAGATATAAAGAGAAATAAAGCAATTCTGCAAGCAAGATATTCCCTGCTTTTTATATCAAATACAAACTTTGAAATTTTCAAAAAATATTTATTTTGGGTTTCTTACTACAGAATTTCTCTTCCTTCCTCCTCCCCATACTGCAAAAACACATGCTATGCCTCTATCTGCTAAATATTTTTTTCTCATCATACAATATTTTTGTATGAGACAGTGTCTCATTATGTAGCCCAGGCTGGCCTTGAACTCATGATCCTCCTACCTCAGCCTCCTGAGAGTCAAGATTACAAATATTCTCTACCTTGTCTGGCTTCTTCCTTCAGAAATTGTTACCTTACTCATCTAACTGTACTTAGCAACTACATTAAGCAAGAAATTGGTCTAGGTGCTACAAATACGGTCCTCAAGGATCTCAGAAATCCACTTAAACAGTCAAACAGTATATAAGATAAGACAATATACAGGATAAAGACCAGATAACTAATATACATGTTAAATATTATTGAAATTCAGAGGAAGCAGAGAGCACTGAGAATTGGAATTGATTTGAGAATTCTCTACAGTGGAAGGAATCCTTCAGTTGGGCTTTATAAAGTGTAGCACTGAGATATGTAAGAATATATTTTATAGGATGAGATGAAAGTAAACAAGACATACATAAAGGAATGTGATTTCCTTGACAGACTGTGTATTTGGTTAGAATTGTAGTGGGTTAATTTTCTATCATTCCATCATTTGGTCCTAATTAATTTTCTATCATTTATGTGTAATATAATTTGCTTTATTATTTTTTATTCTAATTTAAAAATTTTTATTTTGTTGTAATTTTTAAACTTATTTTTTTCAGTCATGAGGCTTGAACTCAGGGCCTGTGCACTGTCCCTGAGCTTTTTTGCTCAAGGCTAGCACTCTACCACTTTGAGACATAGCTCAACTTCCAACTTATTATTATGTTATGACAAAGTATAATTGATTTTTTGGCAAGATTGTATATTTTATTTATTTATTTTTCGTTTTTGAAGAGGTAATGTACTGCTGGTTGAACTTAGGACCTCAAACATTGCTAGGCAGTCACTCTACCACTTAAACCATACCCATAGTCCTTTTACTTTTAGTTTATTTTTCAGATAGGATTTCAAGCTGTTACATAGGCTAGCCTTGGCCAAGATCACTCAGGAGGAAGCCTCCTGAGTTGCCTGGGATTACAGTTGTGACACCACCACATTCAGCTTGATTTTGAAATAAGGTCCCACTAACTATTGCCTGATCAGGCCTAGACCTGTGATCCTCCTATCTCTACCTCTCAAGTAGCTGGGATTACAGATGAGCACCACCGTATACTTTTAAATTTTCTGAACAGTAAGAAAACTTTGGTGGTAATCTATGTGAAAGCAGTTCTTGGAAACCCACCATAGTGGTACATGCCTATGATACCTGCTCTACAACTGAGGTAGGAAGATTTCAGAGTTCAAAATCAGCCTGGAATACATGAGACCCTGTCTTAAAAATAAAAATACAAAGCAAAATACAAAAAAGTTATTTTGGAGAAATAACTTTGGCTATGCCTCGGGAGATGAAGAGGAAGAAATTGGAGGCAGTACAGAATGGGAAATGGTGGTAATAATCCAGTGGTAAGAATGGTAGTAAGACATGGTAGTAAGAATGAGATATTAGGCAGGTAACACATTGCTTTCTCTTCTTTTAAAATAATCTATCTCATCTTTTAAACTTTTTGTAAAATTTACCCCGCTTGCCAGGTGCTGGTGGCTTATGCCTGTATTCCTAACTACTCAGGAGGCTGAGATCTAAGGATTTCGGTTCAAAGCCAGCCCTGGCAGGAAAGTCTTACCTCCAATAAACTACTTAGAAAAATCCAGAAGTGGAGCTCAAGGGCTAGACCACTAATCTTGAGCAAAAGAAGCTCAGGGACAGCACCCAGGCCCTGAATTCAAGCCTCAAGATCAGTACACAAAAAAATGTATCCCCTCTACACCCCAGAAGAGACAATGTGCATATTCTAGCTTTAAAAAATATTATTGCAAAGGTGATGTGCAGAGGGGTTACAGTTACACAAGTCAGGTATTGAGTACATTTATTTTTGAACAGTGTCACCTTTTCCTCATTTTCTCCCAGTTTTCCCCTCCCTCTCCCCTTCCCAAGTTGTATAGTTAATTTTCCGCAAAGTGTCTAATATCACTGCTGAAATAGTTCACCCTTTGCCTCACTGTTTCTGTGCTTCTTCTTCCTCTCCCCAACTTAGACAAACACATACAAAAGGGATAGGAACCCAAAACAACAAAAGGTGAAAAATAGAAAAAGTAAATCCTACAAAAAATAAAATAATAAACCTCTTGTTCCCATCTCTTGGGGTTCATCTCGATTGAAACTAGTCAGGAAGAAAACTTCACAGATTTCTTCTACTACTGAGATTCTACTCCACACACTAAGAATTATGCCACATTTTCTGCCTCCTCAACCTATTATTGATGGATGTGCTATTCATGTTCTTTCTAAAGCCAGTCACTCAACTTATATACTAGTGTCCATCACCTTTTGCCCTTTATCTCTCACCTCATGAACTTCTTGTTCTCTTTGGCTCACTTCCATAGAATCTAAGTCCATTATATCATTAAAGCTAAAAATCTTCCTTGACCCATTCTCACCAGCGACTGCCCAATTTATTTATTCCTTTGTGAACTCCTCTAATGTACTCTCTATACTTAGTGACTAATTCCTTTCCTCCATATCTGCTAAACCATCTCTGGTCACACTTCTGTCACAAAGCTACTTTTGTCAAGGTCACTAGTGACCTCTGTATTGAAAATTGTAGTGGTTAAATCTCAGTCCTCACTGTATTTTACCTATCAGCAGTAGTCTACATGGTTGACCATTCTTTCACCTTTGAAACACAACATTATCCTTGTTTTTTTCCTACCTCATGAATCATACTCTTTCATTCTCCTTTATTGTTTCTTTTCTCCCAAACTCCTTGTCAAACGGTGACCTTAGAAAAGGAGATGTCTATGGTGTTTGAAAAGAGAGGATAAGGTTTAAACTAATTATTCAGCAAAGCAGGCAGAGGGGACTAGGGAAATGGGATCTGCTTGCCATTAGCATTAAGGTTCATTTGATAGCATTTTTTTAATTTTATTTTATTTGTGAACATACTGTACAGAGGGGTTACAATTACATGGGCAAGATAATGCATACATTTCTTACCAAGCATTGCAGCCTCCTCCTTTGTTTACCCTTCACCTCCCTTTTGATAGCATTTTAAAATAAAGTAGTTACATAATTTTTCCAGCCATATTCTGCTACATACATGCAGGCACAAATATCCGTATAATGTTGATCTTAACCAGATATGGATTTTGTATAGGGGAAGAAAATCCAGAAACCAAGGGAGTTCCATCATTAATCCTTAGGGAATTTATGCTGAGAGTAAAGGAAGATATTATGAAGATGAGCATCATTAAAATGTTAGTAATATCTATCGGTTAAAGGTCTTTAGGAAGCCCAGCACTGGTGGCTCACGCCTATAATCCTAGTTACTTAAGAGGCTGATATCTGACAATTGGGGTTTGGAGCCAACCAAAATAGGAAAGTCCATGAGGCTCTTATCTTCAATAAACTACTCAGAAAAAGCCAGAAGTGGTGCTGTGTCCCAAGAGGTAGAGTGCTACCCTTGAGCAGAAGCAGTTCAGGGACAGAGCCCAGGCCCTGAGTTTAAGCACCATAACTGACAAAATAAAGTCTTTTGGGATCAGAGTAATAGAGGAAGTTGGTAGGAAACATCAGAGACAATGATCAGAAAGTAGAAAAAGGTGAAATTGAGAGCTGCAGTGGGGTAATAGAGTGAGACAGTTAAGACATCTGGAGCACAAACTTAAGGAAACATTCATTCACTGCTTGCTGGCAAACACTGTTACTTGAACACACTCCAAGCCCTTTGTGCTTTAGGTTGTTTTTCAGATAGGGTATCTACTTGTCTTTCAAAGCCAACTTTCAACCTCAGTATTCCTACCTAACTTATAGTTGGATTCCACTCTGTGCCAGTATAACCAGATTTGTTTGTTGCTAGAGTATCAATAATTTTTTGTCCCAGTTGACATCCATCCCAGATCCTAATCTCCTAATCTCAGCCCCAGACTCATAACCTAAGCCTCCCAAGTAGCTGGGATGATAAACATGATAAACATATGTCCAACAATGATTTGTATCTTCATTTTATCATCCATAGTAGCTCTTTTGGGATTATAAAATGAGAGGTTGGTGGCATGGCTCAGATGGTGGAGCACCAGCCAATTAGCAAAAACATTAGATACAGAATTTGAGTCCTGTGTGTCCATATATATATACAAATATGAACATGTTCATATTTGTATATAATCTTGAATGTGCAGAAATATGAACACCTGTTGCAAGCATCACTTTAAAATGTAATTAAAATACTATATCTGTTCTTTTTAGAATGGACAACGAGTTGTGGCAGGAAAAGCTTTGGAATATTTAGCTCAACACTCAGAAGATCCAAAACAAGCACTTTCATCTTTAAAGTAAGGAAATCACATTCTGTGGAAGTAAAAGGATTTCCATCTACTCATCTTAGTATTGTTGTATAAGTTATGCCAAATAATTCTATGAGTTTGATATCTACAAAAACTGTTAACCCAGATGCAAAGTTAAAAAAGTAAGCAGTTGAATTTCCCCCACATTTATTTCTAGAAAGGAAAATTGATTTTTGTTCAAAGTGACTTCTGAATGTATGGATTTATGGAGTACATACAGTAGGGCAGAGAGTGCAGTCGAGATGTGATAACGTGATAGCTATTGTAGTTTTGACTGAACAAATGTCAAATGGAAAGCAGGGATTCTAGGATGGTGTTCCTGCTGCTTGAACTATATGCTACAGGTCAAATTTATAAAGTGAAATGGAGTGACTGAAATAAAAGTGTCAGAAGGATTTGAGATAGTTGCACTAAGGAAATGATGAAAATCATTCAAGACAGATGGTATTTCTTAAAGAACATTTTCAGATGTGAAACTACAAATTGCTTTATTATGTCAGCTTGTCATTCTGATTTCCCTTCAAAGAACAGGGATCCTCAGTTGTGTAACATCCAAAAACTATTTCCAGGTTCCCTATAGAAAGAAAAACATAAAGACGTATATTATCTCTGACATTCTAGTGGTGATTTGGGCTGATAATATGAGTGATGTAACATTAACATTTTGTTTTAAAAAGTATTCTTTTGTTTCAAAATTATTAAATTGCATTTAAAAAGTCACAAAATGGGTATGTTTTCATTGTAATCATTTTACAACATAGAGATCTACAAACAAAACAAGATTACGCTGGGCGCTGGTAGTTCATGTCTGTAAAGCCAGATGCTTATGAGGCTGAGACCTAGGGATCAAGGTTTGAAGCCAACCAAGGCAGGAATGTCCATGAGACTTTTTATCTCCAATGAACAGCCAAAAGGTTGGAAGTGCAGCTGTGGCTCAAGTGGTTGAGTACTAGCCTTGAGATTAAAAAAAAGAAAGTGTTCAAGGATAGTGCCCAGCTCTGAGTTCAAGCCTCAGGACCGGATCTGCGAACACACACACACACACACACACACACACACACACACGCGCACACACACACACACACACACACACACACACACACACACACACACACTGGACAAGATTAATTTCCTCATCTTTTCTCAATTCTACCTTTCAGGGTAATCAAGGTGAATAACTTGGTATAAATTTTCCCATGTGTTTATTCTTAAGAATCACTTTTGATATCATTTTATTATACAGGTGTCTGTTTCGTCTTGTTCTTCCAAAGTTTTCTCAAATGCCAGAATCTGAAAATAAGTAAGTTATTTCAACAGAATGATGTATTCACAAATGGAAAAAAGTATAGTAGCTTCTAGTACAAACCTCATATTAAGAGATTTATTGTGCATTGCATAAGGTTTACTGAGTTCGTATCTTGGCTTGGCTATTTATTACATGTGCAAACTTGAGCATGTTTTTAAATGTTTCTTGACTTCAGTTTCTCCAATCTGTATAATGGAAATAATAATATTATATGCCTCATGGAATTGCTGTGATTACTCACTGATACAGTAATACATGTATAAGGCAAAAGATTGATGAGATCTGAAGAGAAACCAGAGCGCAAGTAAATACACATGAGTGCCAGGCAGCTTATAAATCCTCAATAATGTATATGATCTGATTATCAGATTGAACCTGTTTCTTCCTTTTTTAATAATAAATTCCTTAAGAGACACACGTACAGTCCCACAGAGCATACAACCTGATTTTTTGTTGATTCTTGTTTTCTACAAGCTCAGTTAGAGCTATTGAAATATGTTTCAGCTCATAGTTTTTGTGGTATAAAAGATATCAAGAATCAACTACTTCCTGATGATTTGAAGGAAATTATTCAAGTTCTAGATTAGGGATAATGTTCAGAGAATTTCTGAGCCAGTTCTGTAGTCTCTGCTTGGAAATAAGCTCTGTAATAATGTATTTCCATAGTACTTTTGCTTTGTATAAGTGGCAGTAATATATTGTTTTGACTTAATTTGGGCAAAATATATATGACCGAGATAAAATTGGATTTAAAATTCACCTTACTATAAAACACAACTTACCAGAAAAAAAACATCTCTTAGCTCTAGACAAAGATCCATTATTTCTGAGTTAAAGGTAGAAATACAAAATTTCCCGGGGAAGACAAGGAAATCTCAAAGTAAACTATTACCAAAAAAACGGTGGGGAAGGATATCCTAAAGTTAGATTAGGGGGCAAAACATTTTATAAAAATGAAAAAAAAACATTATCACTGCTGTAGCAGGATATTACTGTATCTCTTGGAATAAATAGCAGATGGATGTGACATTCTCTTTCTCTTATAAATGACTATCTCAAACTCAGGGAACTACATTCATCTGTCAAAAGTGTGCAAGTGACTTAAAGGGACACTATTTAATTCTGAAGGACATGTAATTCAATTATACCAAATCAATATTAAGGAGCTGAAGAGAATTCCCTAGAAAGGTGGTACTTGATCTGATCTTCCTCCTGCTCAGAGCAAACCTTGGGAATAATTTCACCAGGCATATTTCTGTCTCTGCCTCTGCCTCTCTCTCTCTGTCTCTCTGTCTCTGTCTCTCTCTTTCTCTCTCTCTCTCTTAGTTGTGATAACAAAAGAGCCCAGGGGATTCTTGTGTGAACATTCTTTCTTTCACTCAATCTGGCTCAATCCCTCACCACACCCTCACACCCAGGAAGGGTGGCTGTACCCCATAGATGAGTCTCTGAAGCAAACTCTTTGACATAGTAACCATCTCGAAACATCTTTGGAAAGTCCCTTCACTGTCTTGCTCTGAATAGAGCTTGGCTTTCCCTTAAAGATGTGGGTTCTCATATTGCCCTATTAACTCGGGGCCTTCCCTCCTGCACCTCATACAGAACCCACTCAGCATGAATATGAGCCACAGTTCTTTCCCTGGTTCCACACTGCTATTCCAAGGGCAGTCCTCCCATTCTGTCCTGTCCAATGCCCTGAGAAGCAGGTGCTATCAGGCCATCTTTGTATGTTTCTTGCTAGATAAATATTCTCCTTCCAAATCCATCACAGAAGCCACTCCCACATGACCTACTATCTGCCTCTGCCCTTCTCCAAAATGAGTCCATCTAGAATATCTGAAATTAAAAAAAATTGCATTATTATTAAGGTGTTATACAGAGGGACTTCCATTTCAGTAATGAGGTAATGAATACATTTCTTTTTTTTTTTAGACAATATCACCTCTTCCTTTATTTTCCCCCAGTTTCACCCTCCCATCCCTGCCCACTAGTCATGTGGTCATTTTCCACATAGTATATACTGAATAGAAAAATTGCACTTGTTCTCCCTTCCTCCCTTCCTTCTGTAGCCCTTCCCCTACCCCCTCCAGAAAGAAAAAAAAAACAAAGCAAAATCAAACACCATCATTACCACTAACAACAATAACAACAAAGAAAAAAAACAAAAAATAAAATAAACACAATTTACCCCCAAAACATCTTGATGTTACAGGTTCTATGAACTGATTAAAAGGGAAATCAAACTAAAAGAAAGATGAAGCACATGAAAATTTGTATAATAACCCAAATATTTGATATTATGAAGTTAATAATATAGGTTTTTTGTTTTGTTTTGTTTTTTGGGTCCGGTCATGGGGCCCGAACTCTGTGCCTGGGCGCTGTCCCTCAGCTCTTCAGCTGAAGGCTAGCACTCTACCACTTGAGCCACAGCGCCACTTCCAGCTTTTTTCTTTTAGTTTATGTGGTGCTGAGGAATCGAACCCAGGGTCTCATGCATGCAAGGCAAGCACTTTACCACAGAGCCACTTTCCTAGCCTCTAGGTTTTGTTTTTAACATACATCCTTGAAACACGTAAGAATATAAGGAAGATATTCTTGTTAGAATTAATGACAAATGGCAGGAAATATAAAATATATGCCTTTATTGTTTCCAAGTAGGTAAAGAACATCTTCTAGTAGTTTTTTTTCATGTAGAATTCAACATGAGATATCACAAAAAAAGACACTAATTTTTTTTTTTTGCCAGTCTTGGGGCTTGAACTCAGGGCCTGGACACTGTCTCTGAGCCTCTCTGTGCTCAAGGATAGTGCTCTACCAGTTGAGCTACAGCACCACTTCTGGCTTTTTTTGAGTAGTTTATTTGAGATAAGAGTTTTGAGGACTTTACTGCCCAGGGTGGCTTTGAACCATGATCCTCAGATCTCAGTCTCCTGAGTAGGTAGGATTACAGTTGTGACCCACTAGCACTCAAATGACACTAAAAAATTTTAAAGCATCTAGTAAAGTGAGAAAACCCAAGATAATTGAATTTGAGTTTGAGTTACATCATTAGCTTAGTTTACCTTAGGCAGTAACAACTGGCTAGCAATCTCACGTAAACAGATAATATATCCAATCTATTCTATATTTTCTTTTTTTATTATTTATATGCAGTAATGGACCTTTCATAGATGTTACAGAGAAACACTAAATTAAATAACAAAGAAAAGCTGGGCACTTATGCTTCAGGCCTGTAATCGTACCTATTCAGGAGGCTGAGATCAGAGACTTGTGGTTCGAAGCCAGCCTGAGCGGGAAAATCCGTGAGACTCTCATATCCAATTAACTACCAGAAAATTGGAAGTGGAGCTGTGGCTCTGTTTGTAGAGAGCTAGTTTTGAGTAAAAAAAGCTTAGGGGCAATGCCCAGGCACTGAGTTCAAGCCCCACAACTAACCAATCAAATAATTTTTTTATTGTGAAAATACCATACAGAGGGGTCACAATTACATGAGTAAGGTAATGGGTACATTTCTTATCAAGCTATGTAACCTCCTCCTTTGTTTCCCCTTCCCAACCCTTCCTATCTCCCCGATCCACTCTGGCCAAAGTGGTAAAATTTGTTTTTCGACATAACATCTTGTACATCTCATTGTTGCAATGGGTCCACTTGTATCCTTATTTAAACGGCTTGTTTTTCCCCTTCCCCTCCACAAATTATACCAACATCAAATACAATGAAAGCAGAATTTATACCATGGGGGTGGGACATACAAAGCAAGAAAGAAATCATCTTATAGATATGTTAGAGGAAGTGGCACTGTAGCTCAAGTGGTAGAGCGCTAGCCTTGAGCTGAAGAGCTGAGGGACAGCGCCCAGACCGAGTTCAAGCCCCACAACTGACAAAAACCAAAAAACAACAATAAATATATTAGAAACAATTGCAAAAAAGAAAAAAAACATTTGAATACTTGTCTTGGGGTTCATTTCACCTAACATCAACTTATCTGACCTTTTCTGCTTGTCTCAGACATATACTAGTTATTGCAAATAAGGGAGACCATGGGACCTATGTTTCTTTGGGCCTGGCTTACTTCACTTAATATAATTTTTTCCAAGTTTTTCCATTTCCTAACTAATGGGGCAATGCCATTCTTTCTGATGGAGGCATAGAATTCCATTGTGTATAGATACCACATTTTCTTGATCCATTCATCTACTGAGGGGCATCTGGGTTGGTTCCATATCTTAGCTATGGTAAATAATGCTGCAATAAACATAGTTGTGTTGGTAGCTTTAGTATGGCCTTGTTTGTGATCATTTGGGTAAATGCCCAAAAGTGGGATTGCTGGGTCATAGGGGAGGTCTATGTGGAGTCTTTTGAGGAACCTCCATACTACTTTCCAAAGTGGTTGAACAAGTTTACACTCCCACCAACAATGCAGTAAGGTTCCCTTCTGTCCAAATCCCCTCCAGCATCTGTTGTTATTAGAGTTGTTGATTATAGCCATTCTAACTGGGGTGAGGTGGTATCTCAATGTTGTTTTGATTTGCATTTCTTTTATGGTTTGAGAGATTGAGCATTTCTTCGTGTGTCTATTGGCCATTCTTCTTTCCTCTTCAGAGAAGCCTCTCTTGAAAGTTTAGCCCATTTAGTAATGGGACGATTGTTTCTTTAAGGATTTGTTGTTGGGGGATTTAATTTTTTGAGTTCCAGGTATATTTTAGATATGAGACCCTTGTCTGTTGTATGGCTAGTGAACATCTTCCCCCAATCCGTGGACTTTCTATTGATTTTGCTAGCTATGTCCTTTGCCAGGCAGAAGTTCTGCAATTTCATGCAATCCCATTTGTCCAACCTTTCTCTGATTTGTTGTGTTTCTTGGTCTCTACTAAGAAAATATGGGCCTGAGCCAAGGTAACCTAAGGTTTCTCCTATTGCATCCTATAATGTTTTCAGAGTGTCTGCTTTGACTCTGAGGTCTTTGATCCATTTGGAGTTGATTCTGGTGCAGG